TGAATCTGGGAGGTCTGGGGCTAGAGTAGACTTAATTGTGTGCCTATCAATCCATATGCAAACAGTACACGACCTTTTAAATTTCTTTACTGCTTCTCTACCTCTTAAAATCCAATAACGTTGGCGAATTTCGTTTAACGTGTCACGTACGCCACTATGCAATACAATAGCATGATATTCTTTTATCACCAACTTTGAATACCAGTTATAGGGACGTAACAAAATTGGCGTTTTCGTAGAATCTGGAACAGAAGCGTTGGTTATCCGAGATCTCGCTCTTATAACGCCGTTGTTATCTAAAAACAAATTGAATTGCTTAACTTTTAAAGGAGGCTTGGTTACCATTTTACCACGCAAATATTCATACTCTTCTGAAAATTCTTCTCTTTGAATGTAACTTAACAATTTGTATTCTGCTCGTTCAATTTCTTCGTTTCTTAACTCCTCATTTAAATCGGGGGTTTGGTTAGTTAACGATGCCTTACAGTTTCCTACGAATCTGAAAACCCAAGCCAGGGTGCCAAGAAGCTTACGTTTACTCCCAAATCGTTCTATGTTTACTAAATTCTGTATACTCAAAACATCCGTCGAAGTAGACAACGTGTGTGTTATCATGTGAGAATTGTTGGCTTCCTCCTTCAAGGCAATTTCGTGGGCTTCCTTGTCAGTTATATCAATGGATGGCCACAATTCAATTCTTTGCTTCAAGAACTCGGGACCTTCAAACCAAAACACATTCCTTGAAAGGTCCTTTCCGCAAAGCCCGCGCGAGGGTAAATCTGCTGGGTTTAAGACACCTGGACAAAACTTCCATTCTGACCTGTCTGTTAGTTCTAGAATTTTGTGGACCCGGTTCCTTACAAACTGTTTCCAGGGCTTACTGTTTTTTATCCAGCAGAGTGCTACTAAGGAATCCACCCAATAAAAACTTGTGATTTTCGCCGGATCTAATTCTTCAAGCAAAACAGTACGAATTGTATCCATCAACTCTGCTAATAACAGGGCCCCCATCAACTCTAATTTCGGGATAGTTACCTGTTTGATGGGTGCTACTCTTGCTTTCGACGCAATAATTCTACAATCTACCTCTCCGTTTTCATATTCTGTGCGCAAATAAACGACACAAGCATAGGCTTGCTCGCTAGCGTCCGAGAAGCCGTGAATCTGATATGAGCGTACACTCAACCCGTTGATAAGACACCTTGGTATTCTAACCTTACTTAACTGTTCTAGCTTGGAAAGAAATGCATTAAATTCTAACCTAGCACTTCCCTGTAATTCCTCATCCCAAGCTACTTTCTGTAAACATAACGATTGAAACATGGCCTTCATTCTAACCGTAAATACGCTCAAAATTCCTAACGGATCGAATATTTTAGCGGTTAATCTTAGCAGTGAACGTTTAGTTGCTGGAAGTGTTTTAGCTAATTGCGTAATCTCTGTAAAATCATAACAGATTTCATCTGACGAGGAGTTCCAGTGCAACCCTAATATTTTCACAGTTTCATTATCTGCACTAAGACCTATACACGATTGTACGTAAGACTGATCCTCTTCGCCTAACTTTGGGTCTGACCCCCCGGTTGTTGCTTGACCTTCAGATTTTCGGATGCGTTCTATTAACTCCTGCGAATTCGAATTCCATTTACGAAGGTTAAAATTTCCTTCCTTCATTACCTGTTTTGACTGTTGATAAATTTCGTAAGCCTTGTCTACTGTCTCTCCACCCGTTGACAGATCGTCAACAAATAAACCCTTGAGTACCTTGACAATCTCAGGGTTTTTCTCTTGGTATGATGACACATGTTGCAACAAAACACTTCCCAAAACAGCAGGGGACGGCCGTAGGCCAAAGGGCAAACGCGCATAACGCAGCTGGACAATCGAGCGATTTGCAGACTGTGGCTCATCATACCACAAAAACCTGAGAAAATCACGGTCCTCCTGTTTAATACCTATCTGAAGAAAGGCTTTCTCGATATCAGCAGTAAGTGCAATGACCTTAGTTCGAAACTTAACTAGAACATCAAACAACATCGGAATCAAATTAGGCCCTCGTTCTAAACGATCGTTTAACGACAAATTATCGGTTTCCATTTTTGCACTCGCATCAAAAACTACCCTGACCTTACTCGTAACTCTGTCCTTGCGAATAACTCCAAAATGTGGCATAAATCTAACGTTGTCATTATCTAATTCCGAAGAGGGCACCTTTTCGATTATACCTTGAGCGAGTTGCTCCTTAAATATACCATCGTACTCTCGCATCAGTTCGGGATCCTTAATCAAACGAGAATGTAACGAGTTCAACCGAGTCTTGCACTGCTCAAAATTATTTACCATATTTTTTGGCTCCGTCGGTTTCCATGGTAATCCTACTTCGTAACGATCTCCTTGTACCCTTATGTCACAAAATTTATCCGTTTCGTTACTATCAACTAACTTGTTACAATCTAACCCGGTATTTTCTACTTCCCAAAAGGCTTTCAGTGTATCAACTAATTCTTTATCCTTATCCGATTCGGTAAGCCTTGGGTTCTCAATACATAAATTTGCAGACGTAAAATTATCCTGAGAGATTTTCGACGACTCTAATTTTCCCGACAACACCCAACCTAGTTTACTCTTAACAGCTACGGGACCGTTTTCTCCTCTAATTACATCCCCCACTACGATACTATGATATTGGTCAGCTCCTATCAAAACATTGATATGATCATTACTTCCTATGTCAACCTCATCTGCCAATTCTAAACCCTGTAGATGAGGGAAAGAATTTACTTCTACAAGGGTGGGGAGCGGAGAACATAATTCTGGGTACGAAAGTGCATTAACAACAGCTAACTGTCCGTCATTTAATTCAATCTGGAAACTTACCAATTTGCAGTTCTTACTTTTATACTCAGCGCTACCGAAAGTGTTCAAGTTCAAGGTTTCTTTCATCTCCGTTTTCAGTTGTAATTTCTTCACCACATCTTCGGTCACATAGCTTCTCTGACTGCCATTGTCGAACAAAATGCGAATGGAGCATTTTTCTCCGGTGCTCGGGTTTACTGCTGTTGCCTTTGCAGTTTGCAATAAAACATGCGTCGATTTCTTTTCTTTTGATATCGCAGTAACATTAGGTGGCATTGACTCTGCTCCGCTATTATTACTCTTCCTTTCACAGATGCTTGAGTGATGTTTTCCTCTGCAAAAACTGCAAAATTTTGCACTTGGGCATGTTTTTACGACATGGCCTGTCCTCAAACAAGAAAAACATCGCCCAACTCGCAACAAATGCTCTTTCCGCTTGTTAACATCCACGATAGTGTTACAATCTGAGGCGTAATGGTTGCCAGAGCAAAAATAACAACGAATATTTTTTGTCGCATTCCTTGATACGAAAACTGACGTCGTACCCATGTTCCCAGTTGCTCGGATTTTTGTCGTTGTTATCGGTGCCTTATTGTCGGCGATGTGAATGTAGTCACGCATTTCTCGAGCTTCCACTTCATGCTTAATAATCATAAGAAGCTCTGAAATCGACCAGATTTCTTTCGAAGTATGCCTCGCAATTTGCAGGGAAATATCCTTCGGAACCCTCGACATTATAACGGGAATCAACAGGCTTCCGTACTGATCCGAACTGATTCCTAATGACTGTAATCCGCGTACATGTACGTTAATTGTATCGTACACATATCTTAGTTGCGCTGGTTTATCGTTTTGACAAACTGGTAACTTCAAAAGTTCGTCCATATGTTTCGAAATGATCTTCTGCTTTTTTCCGAACCTATCCTGAAGTATCAGCAGGGCATTTTCATAGTTTGCTTCGGTCATAGGCAGTCCTTCTATAGCTCTCGCCGCTTGTCCATCCAAGTATGATTTCAGGTAACTAAATTTCGTTATCGTTGGGATGTTCGTATTCTCGTGAACAGCTGCATTAAAACTCTCCCAGAAACTGAAAAAATTCACAATATCGCCACTGAATCTCGGTAATTGCAACTTTGGCAGTTTCGAATTTGAATTTCCATGCGACGAAGACGAACTTCCACTTTGAAGGGAATTATTTCCATTTCCGTCGTGTTCATCACTGGAAGGATTGGCTGGTGTTAATGGTGTAGTTGTAAGTAAAGAAAGCCTTCTCACGCTCGGTGGTGTTGTTGGTAATTGTCTTCTAATTCTTGTACTAGTTGCCGGGGAAAATGGGTTTGGTGGATGCAGTTTTCGCTTGATCTTTCGTATGGCATTAGAGATGCGAAATTCATATTCGTTTGCTCCCGTTACTTCGCTATCAATCTTTTCTTCTTCTTCCAATACATCGATAATTTGTCCGTCAAATAACTTCAATTCCTTCAATTTCGAGTCCAATAATTCCAAAATCGTTTCTAATCGACAAATCCGTTCATCGTCTCGGGGCTCTCCAGGTTCGCTGAGCAGCTCAAGTGCTTCTCGTTCTAATTTCGTTGCCACGGATC